TTTTTAAAAATATAAATGTTTCAAACCTCTGCAAAACCATTTTTAGCGAAAATTATCTACGGCTTTCATTTGTCATAAAACTACGCACCCAAATTATAAAACACGCTTGACAGGTTCACTGAACTCTAATGGCAGGTTCTGAAGTAGAAAGCATGCTTATAAGACAATTGTTAATAAAGCGTACGAAAGGCCATATTTACTTTAATGCGAAATATTACATTAAACTAAATGAAATTAAAGATAAGCTACCCGACGTTTCGCTTATATTTGCTTAGTCATGGGCGATCTAACACATTTCACAAATCATACATTTTTTGAATGCATTCGAAAAATATTACAAAGTATTAAACAGATTATCAAAAACATCTCCCCGAAGGGAAATTCGGCGATCGATCGATAGAGTTTCTTCATGTCGTTTTCTTTTTAACTCGTTCTGCTATGCTCGTATGTAACTTGAAAAATCCTTGTGATACGTTCGTGGCTTTTTCAGTTCGGATGTATGCCGCCTCAATCAGCCACCTCTCGGTTTTCTTTAGGTCGCTGTGTAGGGCTTCGGCACCATTCCAGTTCGGTAAATGTCCCTCTTTATCAGCGTGCATCACGATAGCCTTCGTCTCCCTGTGGTTGCGTAAATCGTTCCTATGTTCCCGAATTCTAGTTTTAAGACCCCTCCCCGTTTCACCATAATACGCCTTATCACATTTGCTACACGGAATTTTGTATACTATGCTGTCTTCGTTTGATGTCTTGATTTTCTTTTTCTTTAGCATTTGTCCTATCTTCTTGCCCCCTGATGTGACCATCCTGATTTCTGGAGACAGTTGCTGACTGACACTGTCTACCTGTTTGCTGTGAGGAACAACGAGCATTGTTCTTGTTTCATCTTTCTTCTCTTCGTTTGTCTCATTCTCATCTTTCCGTCTATCTGCCCTCTTCTTTATCTCCCACGCTTTGCGTTTCAGGTCGATTATCAGGGCCTCTGGAAATTTTAGCTTTATGAAAGTTCTTGTGATATATTCCAGTTCATCCTTGATGTACTCTGGTGAGCAAATTCGGTAAGCTCTCAAGAAGAATCCGATCACTATACCAGTCTTTGTTCTCTGGCTATGTCTTGAAAAATAATGCACAAAATCATCCTTGTTTGTGGGCTTTCGGTAGACTGAGAATTTTATATCAATGGTGTTGAGCCGGCCATACAACTGACGGTGGAAGAAGAGAGGGAAGGCATGCTTCCATTCTTGGACGTGATCATAAGGAGATATGATCATGATATAAAATTCTCAGTCTACCGAAAGCCCACAAACAAGGATGATTTTGTGCATTATTTTTCAAGACATAGCCAGAGAACAAAGACTGGTATAGTGATCGGATTCTTCTTGAGAGCTTACCGAATTTGCTCACCAGAGTACATCAAGGATGAACTGGAATATATCACAAGAACTTTCATAAAGCTAAAATTTCCAGAGGCCCTGATAATCGACCTGAAACGCAAAGCGTGGGAGATAAAGAAGAGGGCAGATAGACGGAAAGATGAGAATGAGACAAACGAAGAGAAGAAAGATGAAACAAGAACAATGCTCGTTGTTCCTCACAGCAAACAGGTAGACAGTGTCAGTCAGCAACTGTCTCCAGAAATCAGGATGGTCACATCAGGGGGCAAGAAGATAGGACAAATGCTAAAGAAAAAGAAAATCAAGACATCAAACGAAGACAGCATAGTATACAAAATTCCGTGTAGCAAATGTGATAAGGCGTATTATGGTGAAACGGGGAGGGGTCTTAAAACTAGAATTCGGGAACATAGGAACGATTTACGCAACCACAGGGAGACGAAGGCTATCGTGATGCACGCTGATAAAGAGGGACATTTACCGAACTGGAATGGTGCCGAAGCCCTACACAGCGACCTAAAGAAAACCGAGAGGTGGCTGATTGAGGCGGCATACATCCGAACTGAAAAAGCCACGAACGTATCACAAGGATTTTTCAAGTTACATACGAGCATAGCAGAACGAGTTAAAAAGAAAACGACATGAAGAAACTCTATCGATCGATCGCCGAATTTCCCTTCGGGGAGATGTTTTTGATAATCTGTTTAATACTTTGTAATATTTTTCGAATGCATTCAAAAAATGTATGATTTGTGAAATGTGTTAGATCGCCCATGACTAAGCAAATATAAGCGAAACGTCGGGTAGCTTATCTTTAATTTCATTTAGTTTAATGTAATATTTCGCATTAAAGTAAATATGGCCTTTCGTACGCTTTATTAACAATGCTTATAAGACACGGGCACCTCGATGCGATGGATATTATTTCCAAACCAAGTCGTTTAGCCGCAAAAAGCAATCGACCGAAATGGATAGATAACCCCACCGACACAAGAACAACCAAACATCCGCCGATCGAAAATACCCCTTTTCGCGTTGCGGAGCACGCGGGTCACCCTAGTCTTCCCCTATTAGTAGTTGCTCTATCATTTTCAGTTTACTGTACAGCAAAGTAAAATGAAAGGGACCAGCGCTGGACCTGGGGTCAAGCTCAGGTCAAAGGTCAAATTCAGGGGTTTTGCATGAATCGGCTTACGGACAGCGGAATCGATAGCTGCTGCTCGAAACTCACCAAAAATGACCTCAAAGGCCTAGTGAAGGTACCATGTGCGTATAAGGGTCATACTAAGCACGGGTCAAGGTCAGGTCAGGTCACGAAAGGTCACGGTTTTCACTTTCTGCTACATGGGCGTGCGACACATGTTTTATGGCTTATTTTTCACGCCGAATCCGATGGTAATGGTTATATGTGACCCCAAGTTACTGTGCTGGTGATAAGTGTGCATTGAAAGCATAAAAAATCGTTTATACTATAGGGGAGAGTGGGGAAAGATGCCCAGGGTTTTGCTATGTCATATATTATTCGAAAATGACGATGGGAAAGCAAAAACTTGGAGTTTCAACGGAAGCCGACATCATTTTTCTCCAAAAATATCACACTTTCGTGCCTGAAATATTATAACTTTTTTTTGCTATTAAGCGTTTTCCTGAAGAAGTGAAAGGGGGCGTCTTACCCCACAGGGTGGGAAAGACGCCCCCTGACGTTGGGAAAGATGCCCCCTGCACTATAAGTGACATAAATGGGCACATGAATCGCCTGAACGAATCAGCAGTCCCTTCGAGCCTGCAGTAGACACCAAACGTCATCATAAGGGCCCTCAAAAGTAGTCGTAAGGGGCTTCAGAGGTCATCGTTAGGGCCATCATTGTCCAGCGCGGCCAAACAAGCCTCCGTGGTGGCGTTCGGAGACCACTGTGGGGCTCTTATAGGTCTTCATGATGCTTGAGGGCCCTCAAGCCCATCGTGGGGACTTCCGATGCCAGCGCGGCCCGAAGGGCCAACGTGGGAGCCCTCAAAGGATGTCGTGAGGGGCCCTGGAGCCAATAATGGGGCCCACAGAGGCCGTCGTGAGGGCTCTCAGAGTCAGATGCCGCCCAGAAAGTCGCTATGTGGGCCGAGAGACCGGCATGGGGAGCACCCGACCGTACTGGACTCTCAATAGTCCCAGACCGGCTTTTGTCTACATCACAACTCACAAGTATGTAATAAATGATTTGACGGGCTGTTTGAAGGACAGCCTACGGATTTAGGGGGGCGTCTTTCCCCATCAGGACAGGGGGCATCTTACCCCAAGGTACCGAAGTAACATTAAATCAGTACAATTTGTTAGCCATAAAACTACACCCTGAAACAAACTGTTTGGGACACAGTACACGCATGCTAACGTATCACGACTATAGCAAGGGACGCAAAAATTATTTACCTTCTTTGATATTTACAATGTTTTGACACCAAAATATTTTTTGAAAGCAGCAAATAAAAAACATGCAATCATCAGCCAGCCGTTGCCCAACTGAGCTTCGCAAATTTTTGTGCAGTTAACAAGGCAGGCTTCCGCTTTACGCTAAGAACATTAATTTCCAGGTCTGATTCTTTGTTTCGCCGCTAGAGGGGGTGGGGCGTCTTTCCCACCCTGGGCATCTTACCCCACTCTCCCCTACATAACTAAACGAGGGCTAAGAAAAAAAGTCAATTTTTCAACTTTTTATTTTTGCCATAAAAATGCACTTTTCTAGACGAGCTTTGTCCCAGGAATCTAGTGGTGCCATTTGTTTTCACATGCGATGTTCAGAAGTGCCTCTAATTCACGAAAATGCTTATGACGTCACCATGCCCTATGCATGTTGGAGCTATTTTTTACAATTTGGGGGTCAAAAATCAAGAAAGAAAGTTGAAATTTGGGGCATCTAATGTTCTAATAGAGCTCTACAACATATATTCCGGTTTTTTGGAAAGTCCCAAAATTTTGGATTTTATAAGCTGTTTTCCAAAAAATATAGTTTTTTGAATTTTTAGGGGTGAAAAACGCATTTTATGGAAAATCCGAGATAGCCATTTTAAAGAACTCGTTGAGCTGCGTCTTTTCATGTCCTTAATTTGCAATTTGCTTCAAACCCTGATTTTTGGCGATTTTTTTAAACATTTACCACTTTTTGACTAAAAACGCCATGTAGTTACATCACTAAAATCGATATATCTCAAAAAATTTGGAAAATTTTTCTTAAAAATTGCACAGGAGACGTCAAATTGATGGGGAAAAGGTATGCCAAGTTTCAAGTAGATAGCGAAAGTGGTTCATGAGTTATTCAAGAAAAACGGAGGGGGGGGGTCGGATCCGACCCCCCCCCCCCCCCCAGGCGGTCGCGGGTTAACCAAGTGTGTAAAGATGAACAATTCTCCCACGGAAATGGGTATGATCGCTAACATTTATTCGAACATATTCCATCAGCCCATCATGGACTTTGCCCCCTCCCCCATTCCAAATCAAATTTGCAACCACAGCGCACAAAATTCTGCGCTGACCTCTAACCCACCGAACTCATCTAACCTTAAAGACGATAGGTGGAATAATAGATTATGAAAACGTTTCGTTGGCATGAATAACACGGCTTGGCTTGTTTTCGTTTTATTACGACCCATCTCGTACGTGTGACAAATGACTGGCCGTCTAGCGGCTCGAGCCGTCCGCCGATGCCCGTGGCCGCCGGCTCGGTACTGTACAGTGTACACCGCCGGCTCGGTACTGTACAGGGCGTCCGAGCTGAGTGGAGGCAGCGACAGCGGAGAAGAAACGGCGCCAGAAACGATCAGAGTTGGAGATAGAGAGAAGGAGCGCGCGCGCGCGATCGGTGACGGCGCCGCCGCTGCGCCCAGCCTCGCGGCGGCGGCGCCGCCCGTCCGGTCCCGTCCCCCCTACTCTTCTGTGAAATGCCGCGACTCTTGGACGACAGTGATGGAGCCGCCCGGAACGGCCGACTGCGTGACGAAGCTGCGGTGCTTGGTGCGGATCATGTTCATGTTGCCCTCGGCGGTCTCTGCGCGCGCCTCGGCCGCCTCCAGCTCGCGCTGGAAGCGCCGCACGCGGTTGATGTTTTGTGCAGAGGTGGCCTCCTGGTCGGCCAGCTGCCGCTTGTACAGGTTCACCTGGCGGACGGAGCGCGCGCAGAGTCAGTCAGAGGGCTCCCGGTGCGGTCGACACCGCCGGACGAGCAGACGGAATGCCGTGACAATCGATCCCGATAGCACATCGAACTGGTACGGGCCTGCCTCGAACCTGCTGCACGATCGATGTTATTTAACTTATCAAAGAGAGTACTGGCCTAGTTAATGATATTTCCGCAGAAAATGATCAGGCAACATTTCTGCGTAACATGATTTAGTCACCTTTTTATTATATTCGTCATAAGATCATTGCTCCTGGACTAACGGTTTTCCGACACAAGCGTGTTTTAGTGACTGAATCCTCAATTGAATCTGAATAAAATGACTAAATAGCAAAATTCGGGTACATTCGATCACGGATCTTTGTCAACCAAAGATCCTATCAAATATACAAAGTTCTGTGATCAAAAACAAAGATTCGTGATTGACAAAGATCCGTGTTCGAATATACCCGAATTTTGCTATTTAGTCATTTTATTCCGATTCAGTTGAGGATTTGGTCACTAAAACATGCTTATTTTCATCATGACAATTTTCCTCAAACACTTAACTCTGTAAAAAAAAAGATTTTCCGACACGTGGTAACAGCCTTGGACTGGTCGGCTTGGTCACCTGGGCCGGCGCCGGCTGGCTCACCTTCTGCGAGCTCTTGTCCAGCGACTCCTTGAGGAGCGCGATGTTGGCCTGGTCCTCCTCCATCTGGACCATCAGCTCCTTGACGTTGCGCTCCTTCTTGCGCAGCAGGCTGAGCGTCTCGGCGTGGCGACGCTTCTCGTTATCAAACTCCAGCTCCAAATCGCGCAGCTGCCGACAGACCAGCAGCAGCAGCAGGTCAGACGCCGCTCGCACCAGGCCCGCAGCAGCAGGTCAGACGCCGCTCGCACCAGGCCCGCAGCAGCAGGTCAGACGCCGCTCGCACCAGGCCCGCGGGTGACAGGCGGGTTTCGCGCCAGGGCACTACCAATACCAATACCAATACTAATTTATTCAGGCAAATCCACTCATAGTGGCTATTCCTTGCCATCAGTCAAGTTGTGAAATGCAGTGATATAAAAAGACATTCACACTTTCCATATGCACATAAACTATGTAAAACGGGCATAAAAACTAAACTAAGACAATGATGATGACGACAGAAATTAACTAGCAGTAAAACACGCATTCCTATGTTTCCTTCGTGCTGATAACCCGCTTGAGAGCGTGATTAAAATTGGCGACTGTCATCGTACGCATTTCCACTGGGAGGGCATTGTACAGTATCGGTCCACGGTACAAAAACCAGCGCCTCCCAGTCTCCGTCCGTACACGTGGCAGACGCAGGTCATCATCATGTCGAGTGCTCCGTTCTCGTGCCTCACGGTTTGTGTGGATTGAGGATGAAAGCGAGGTGTGTGATACATGCAAATTTTGTGGAGTAATGCGAGCGTATGAAATTTGAATAGGTCCTCCGCATCGAGCCACCCCAGTACCGCCCTGACGTCCGCTGAACGGCTGAACTTCCCTCGACCTGATACGACACGCGCAGCAAAGTTAATCACTTTTTGAATCTTGTCTAGATTCTTTCGGCTGCCGTTGCCGTACACAGGCAGGCAGTAGCGGACGCGGGAGAGCACCAGGGCGGCTACGATGGTGGGGAGGACCTCAACCGGAAGATAGTGACGGATGTGCGACAGGCCAATGAGGATCCCGAAGCATTTGCGCGTAATCTCTTGCACATGGGCGTCTCAGGACAGGTGGCGATCAAAGACCACCCCTAGATTTTTAACTTCTAAGACGGGCTGAATTGTACGCTCGCGGAATTTGACGCCGAAAGGTGTGATGTTCCGCAGATTTTGTCTGCTGCCAAAAACTATTAACTGAGTTTTGTCGGGGTTCACCTTGAGAGAATTTGCGCGGAACCCCAGAGGTCGAGAGAGGAAAGGGCCTGTTCCATGCGCTCAGTCAGATCTGACAGGGCTGTCCTGTTGCCGCAGACCATGACCTGGGTGTCGTCCGCGTACTGGACAACGGTCGCATCCGGCACGAACAGGCCGAGGTCGTTTGAAAAGACGGTGTATAAGAGGGTACCTAGTGCCGAACCTTGAAAAACGTCCATGTTATTCGGAAGCGCGGTTGATGTCTGCCTGTTACCAGAGACATCAGTGAAGCTGACGCTCTGTGTGTGGTTCTGCAGGTACGCTTCAAACCACGCAGTGCCCACACCGTGTAACTGAAGTTTTTGAAGAAGCTTAGAATGGTCTATGACATCGAAACATTTACTAAGATCAAGCAGGCAGATCAAGCAGGCAGGCTTAGACAAAAATGTAAGCTTCAAGCTAAGAGCTTGCGAGTACCGTTTTGTTTGCTACTAACAGTGGCAAAGGCTGGCTCACCAGAGCCTGTGACCCCCACCGGGGTTCATACATGTCTAGACCTGCTACGTGCAAACATGTAGTCCGGTGAAAACGTGGATTGGATCCATGCACTGCGCCGCTCCCCCACCCGGGCCCTCCCGGCCACTACCGACCCACCCTGGCTGCTGCCGACTCACCCTGGCTGCTGCCGACTCACCCTGACTGCTGCCGACTCACCCTGGCTGCAGTGCCGACCTACCCTGGCTGCTGCCGACTCACCCTGGCTGCTGCCGACTCACCCTGGCTGCTGCCGACTCACCCTGACTGCTGTCGACTCACCCTGGCTGCAGTGCCGACTCACCCTGGCTGCTGCCGACTCACCCTGGCTGCAGTGCCGACTCGACTCACCCTGGCCTCGAGTTTGCTGATGACGCGCCGGCCGCCGGCGATGGCGCTGGCCTCCACCTCCTCCAGCCGGATGGTGAGGTTCTTCACCTCCACCTCCAGCGACTTCTTGATGGTCTCGATCTTGACGATGCGCACCTGCTCCTCGTTGAGGATGTCGGTGGTGTGTTTCAGCTCGCTCTGAACCTTCATACACCTGTCGTCAGCCATCTGAAAGTAGTGAACCCAGGTCAAAGCCTTTGAAAACGACGTGAAATTTTCGGTGGACCAATTAATTGTCCTCAATAATTGTTGTCAATTGCCAATAAAGTTGTGGCACAAATTGGCGGCTGCTTAGGCCGCGCCTTGCGGGGGGAGGGGTATTTGAACACAGCCCTTGCGATTTTTGGCGAATATCTAACGCCACCGTTTTTGTCACACCTCATCATACATCTTTTCCGTACATGCTGTGAAAAATTTCAGGCCAAGGTCACTCAAGGTCAGGTCACCAGGTCATGTCAAGCGACCTTACCTCCTAAAAAGTTTCAATGCCTACACCGAGTGACCAATGGCTCTGAAACTTTCAGCAATTGATAAGAGCAGCAATAAGTACAAAATTTGTATCTAGGAATTTTGATATCGGTTACCTAAGGTCAGGTCAATTAAATGGCATCCGTGTCTCCTCGATATAACCCTGAGGTCATCCCAGGTCACAAAAGGTGTATTAAAGTTTTTTTTCGCAAAAAAAAACTTCTGCTAGACGCTTGCTAGAGCGATGAAAATACCTTAACCGTGTTCGGCTCGACGATACGAATCAACTGATATGCAACATGACCTTTCCTAATCCTTTCTGATCTAACCTTCGTCATGACCTTTGCCTGAGGTCAACTTTTCAAGTTGACCTTTAAAGGTTACCTAACAGTTCATTCGACGCGTCTCGACGAGAAGAACACGATGCCGGCAAAAGTAATGTCCTGACTCTCTTGAGCCAGAAGTTATTAAAGAAAAATACTTTCGTAAAACCGGCTTTTTCTAGTTTTTGTCCTGTGGTCCTGGAGGCTACACCGTTGACCTGAGGACAAAGCTGAGGGCATACTTCAGAAAGAGGGTTACAGGGGCTATCGAAAACCTGCTGTTCTGCGGCGCTGTAGCTCTATTGGTTTCCGAGATATGTGCCGCTGTTTCTAAAAAGGTCGTAATGGGCAACATTTTACCTTTGATGACCTCTGGTGACCTGACCTTTGACTTGACCTAAAGAATACCTCAGTGTTTTCATCATTTTTTCAACGTTCTTTCGAATACCGCTTGCCGCGAGTCGCTACGTGGCCCAGAAGCCGAGTTAGAGGGGGTGTTCAAACACCCCCTAGCAGGGCGTGGAAATCCAGGACCCCCAGCGGGCGCAGGATCGCGCCCTCCTCTCAGCCAGCTTCGCCATGGTGTTGGGGGGAGCCTTTTTGGCCACACCAGGTTATATCAGAAAGTAAGAAAGCTTGGAAGACGTGAAAAAGCAATAGATAGCTCTTTCTAATATCTTTTAGACTCATTTCGGTCATTTTTCGATCAGGAGATCACCAAACGTAAAACCATCACAAATTTTAGTTCCCGATTTCGACACCTTTTCACAAATCGGCGGATAATTCGGGAACCAATAGAGCTACAGCGCCGCTAAAGCGCATTCGATAGCTATTTCAAAGCACTTTCCAAATAATGTTTTCAGATTAAGCCTGCAGAGGGCAAGAACTCAAAACTTGTTTTTTGTGTGGAAAACCTTTTTCCGTAATAACTTTTGTCACCAAGCCTGTTTCAAAATGATTTAGCCGGTACCGCGTTTCTCTCGTTGAGACGCGTCCGATAGTTCGATAGTATAAGTTGACCTGATAAGATCGACTTGAAAAAATTGACCCAGGTCAAAGTGATAAATGTTTTTTTTTCTTGTCAGTCGATTCGTATCGTTAAGCTGAACGCATCCGTGATGTTGTTATTGCTCTAGCATGATTGTAGCTTAAGTTACTTACCTGAGATGACCTCAGAGGCATAAAAGGGATCACAGGTGTATATGCCGATTCAGTGTGTCATGTTCACCTGTACCCCGGTATTTGAGTGTTTTTGTTCAAAAGATCATTTCACTTCACTCCCATTGACTTATAACCGAGAGATCACATAATTGACATGACCTTAGGTCACCGATATCAAAGTTCCGAGATATAAACCTTGTTGGTACTGATTCCTTCATGCAATAGCCCGAGTTTTAAACTTCTAGAATCTAAACAGTAGGAATGACAGAATCACAAAGTCTTCTAAAGGCATGGTCACTAATATGCCAAGTTACCGTGGTTTTCATTGCACGCGCAAAAAAAGGTAAGTTTGGCCGAAAACGACCCCTTCCCCATTACCCGGGCGAAGGTTAGTCATTCCATTTAACTAGGCATCTTTTCGAGCTTTCTACATGTAGTGCAATATTCTTGAACAACAAACGATCTGTGTAGGAGCAGACGCATCCTAGCCATTGTCTCTGAACCACCCATGGAATCGGGCCTGTCGGCTCTCCATCTCGGTGCCTGGCGGGCGGCATCTTTCTGCCAGGTGTCGGCGCGCCGCCGCACCTCCCACCGACCACAGACCACAGACCTTGAGCTCTTTGGTGACCTCGTCGTAGTCAGCGGTGAGGTTGCCCAGCTCCTGCTCCAGCTTGCTCTTAACGCTGGTCAGGTTGACGTTGATGGTCTGCAGCTCGTTGATGCGCACGCGGAACTCCTCCGCCTGGTCCTCTGCGGCGCGCTTCTGGCGCTGAGCCTGTCGGAGGCACACAAACACGCTCGGTGAGGACAGGACCGAAACCAAGTGCGTCCACTCGCCGACAGTGCCACCAAACATGGCCCACTCAGTCACCATTTAGGACTTTTAACTGCAAGGGCATGCGTTGAGCAGACTGTCAGTTAAAACAGGCAATAACATAAACGAAAAATAAGGTGCGGATGCCACTGTGCCATTTGGACGCCTGGCGGCTGTCCGGGCTGGCTGGTGAGGACTCCCACCTGGTCCAGGTTGCCGCGCAGCTCCTCGTTCTCGGCGGAGAGCGCCTGGATGCGCCGCTGCGCGATGCCGTACTGGTCCAGGGTGGCCTGCAACTGGCGCTGCACGTCGTCGTAGTGCGCCTGCAGCTCCGTCAGCTGCCGGACACGACGTCATCAGTGCTGACCGACCGGTCCGTCAGCTCCCGCGCCGGCTGATCAGCAGTGATTGTGGAATGTGGGGGGTGGCATGGCTGGGTGGACCTCGCTCTGGTGTGCTGGCCATCCAGCGAAACCGTGAAAATATCAACAATTTTTGGTAATGAGCCAAGTCGATCCAAAGAAGGCGGCCAGTAGCCCTACTACATTATCCTACTATTACGACATAGCCCTATTCCAATGAACCGAGTAAGGCGACGGTTCGGCTTCTGTCGCCGTCGTGGGGCGCTCACCTGCAGAGACAGTTTCTTGATCTGCTTCTGAAGCTCGATGTTGTTTTTGTTGGCGACGTCGAGCGACATCTCCAGCTCTGTGATGGTGATTTGCATTTTCTTTTTAATACGAAGGACCTCAGCCTTGAGACGCGCCTCGGCATCAGCCAGGCGGCCATTCAGCTGCTCGATCTCCAGGGTCAGGGTTTTCCTGCGGGTCAGGGAGGGTGGAGGGGTCAGTACAGCAGCCTGCCCGCGGGACAGGGAGGGTGGAGCGTCAGTACAGCAGCCTGCCCGCGGGACAGGGAGGGTGGAGGCGTCAGTGCAGCAGCCTGCCCGCGGGACAGGGAGGGTGGAGCGTCAGTACATCAGCTTGCCCGCGGGACAGGGAGGGTGCAGCGTCAGTACAGCAGCCTGCCCGCGGGACAGGGAGTGTGGAGGCGTCAGTACAGCAGCCTGCCCGCGGGACAGGGAGTGTGGAGGCGTCAGTACAGCAGCCTGCCCGCGGGACAGGGAGTGTGGAGGCGTCAGTACAGCAGTCTGCCCGCGGGACAGGGAGTGTGGAGGCGTCAGTACAGCAGCCTGCCCGCGGAACAGGGAGTGTGGAGGCGTCAGTACAGCAGCCTGCCCGCGGGACAGGGAGTGTGGAAGCGTCAGTACAGCAGCCTGCCCGCGGGACAGGGAGTGTGGAGGCGTCAGTACAGCAGCCTGCCCGCGGGACAGGGAGGGTGGAGACTGGAGGCGCCAATTAAGCAACTGTTCAGCATGAAGGACTATCGGAGGTTTTGATGGTGCATTCAGAAGGCATTTTTTCGTCCCTAAGCGAAAACGGCCAGTGTATGTGCAAATATAGCCCGTAGAGTGGGGCAAAGCGCCCAGGGCGGGTAAAACGCCCACCCCTCTTATTTGTGAAATGCTCGACTTTTCAAAGAATCCTTGATAGCCATTTTGCAGAACTCGCAGGAATCCGTTTGTATTCCCTTTTCTGGTCCCTTGAGTGGGGTGTTCCGGACGTGAGATAAAGATAACTATATCTGCGACATTTTTTTTTAGGAATTACACGCTTTCTTACTGCTAAAACTTTGTCTGATAGAGATTAAAGAAGGCAATGAAATTTCGCCATATCGAACCTGTAGATTTAAGCTATGCTTGGGGCGCGTCAGAATGGCCCAATATACCATACATGACTTCATATATGATCAACCTTCACTACCTTGAGGCCTTTGGGCAGCTGTAAGGTCATGTGACGTCATCAAATATCACCAAAGGTTTTTTGCCAATAACTCCTTACACACAGGAACAAGATACAGACGCTCGGATGGTCTCATTGTGTTCAGCTCGTCAAGGCGCATCGAATGATAAACATGATGACCTCGAGGTCACGTGACCTGAGGTCAGTCTTTAACCTTGACCTTTCGAGCGCAACATATCTATGGTTCGATGCGGATTGACGAGATGAGGCCTCTTGCACCAAACTACCTAGCTAGGTAAAATCGAAAAACCGGTTTCAGAATAAGCTAATCTAACGCTGGTAAATTTGTTTGCAATAGCCCAATACATAATCCTACATGTGCTTGCTAAATTTTGCACATTAATTGTTACATTTGAGACTTGGACTGGGTATACGATGCAAAATAATCCAAGCATTGGTGCAAGAGGATTTTGGTGCAAGAGGCCTCTGATCACGATGGCGCCCTTAGTTTGTTCCTAGCTTGACCAATTCGAAAGTTAGTCGAGAAAAACTCTCCATATCTAGCGCCGCCATTTTGACTTTTTTGACCCCTATGACGTCATCTTTGAACTGACCTGAAAGTGACCTTTTAAAAATTGTAGACCTTGTCCGTGCGTACCCCATGTCGTTTACCGCTTGACGCTATCTTGCTTCGTTCTCGAGATCTCAGGGGGTGGGGGGGGGGGTGGGGGGTCATCCGGGGCGGATGACCCTGTCGGTTCTAAGTTGGGTCGGTGCGCGGGTTAAATTTCAGGGAATGAAGATTGCGCACACTGTAAAAAAAATCAATTTCTTAAGTGAAAACGCCCAACAATACGTCATTGCAGCTTCATTGCAGAGCAAAATTTACATTGCTAGCGCCTAATACGCAACGGCTTTTGTAGTAGGTACAATGAACTAATAAGTACATGCAATCCAACTAATTTGCTTTTGAAACCTGTTTTCAAATATGGCTAAATAACTTTTAGCAGGGGGTTTAATTTGAACATAGTAAGAGAATTTAAATGAAGACAGGGATAGTTTCGAAAAAACAACGCTCCTAGTTTTTATTGTGCCGATATCTTCGATCCAAAGCAGTAGTAGATAAGTGATGGTAGTTTTAGAAAATTTATGTCAAATATCCGCATTTTCGTTGATGTTCCGTCCAAAAATGTTCAAGTCAACCATTTGTCCAAATATGTCCAAAAATTACGCAGGAACCAACACTCAAAATTGTCCTTTAGATTCCTTATAGTGTAATTTTGCCAGCCGAAAAGTGTTCATTATATTGAAAGATTAACTAAGCTTTCCATTCGCCAATCAATGCTATGCACGATTACTTTATAAAAATGCTGAAGTGTAGCGAGCCATCGTCTAATGTTGTCCAGTCTGCTACCTTTGTCCAACCAATTCCGAATTGGACATTGTACAAAATCGGAACTCCGAATGTCCAGGTTCCGATTGGCACCACTATAACTGATGAAGTATGGTTGGGAGAGTTTTTATCGAACGGAAATGATAGACGTTCTGTTCTGTGAATTGAAGACAGACGACTTCTGTCAACTGGCCAGTGTGCAGCGTGCAGATATCCCCGGCGGGTCAAATTCAATCGAACTGCGCTGCTTGGCGCCTACAAACTCACGTCCGCTCAATTGCTGAGTACGGCAGCGTTGTCTGGAGCGGCGCAGCAAAGACCCACCTTGTGCGGCTCGAGCGAATGCAGCATGGTTTTTTGATGTGGCTAGCATCGAACTCCGACGGAGACGGCTCCAGTCTTGATTACGTGTGTCTCCTGAAGCGCTTTGGTCTGTGCTCGATTAAGTCCCACTTTCTACAGACTGATCTTTCATTTCTAGTCAATGTGTATCGCAATAGGATTAACTGCCCTTACATGATGGCAGTCTTCGGACTAGCAGTCCCCAACAGACGCTTTCGACAGACAGGGCTGTTCCACATACCGTTTGGTCGCGTAAACACTGTGAAGTCAGGGTTCACTGTACGTACGTATCCCTGTGCTAGATGTAACCGCTTCTTGCAACCAGGGTTGTATACGACTCAATCAATAGCAATCAATTCAATCACGACAAATTTGGGAAACCAATCAAATCAATCAAGTCAGAGCAGTTTTCGGGAATTGATTCAATCGACTCAAACGCGACAATGAAAGGAATCAATCAACTCAATCAAACGACTCAAACCAAGACATACATTAGGTTTTTTGCCCCACCAACTTGGAAAAGTGTCCATAGCAGTCTGGTGTACCTACCTACCTACCCACCTACCTACAGAAGAAACATAAAATATTGTCATTTGAAATTATAAATTGCCATGCCTTTCAAAGTTTCTATGTAATAAGGAAGGATACCTAGTGATGGACAGGTGGATCATGATATTGAGGTTCAATGTGTAGAATTGGAGCAGAAGTTTCATTTAATGGGTGCAAAATAACCCAGTAGTTGACTCGCCCCTTAACCCAAAACACCAACTTTCACCTAAAAGTTGTCAATTTAATTTTGGCCATATTCCAGCTAAGTCATCAGGCCATCTACCCCATGTAAAGCCCCTGTCTGTCTCTTATGTGAGTTATGCGGAGCTCTTCTGAAATGAACCCTGAACATTAGGGTGTCCCAAATTTCACGAAGTTTTCCAATTCACTTAGGATACACCGGGATCCCGTTCCTTGGTTCATTTGAACCTCACACACCAATTTATAGAGTAAACTACCGGTAAACAAGGTTGCCGCTAGTGCTCTGAAGTTTTATTTGTATTTTGGTGTTATATGATAATGCAGCGTTGTAGTCTCCGAAAGCAAAATGGGACATCTGTGTAAGCAACGTAGCAATGTTACCTTCTCCGATGCTCAGTGATGCTCAGATCTCACGCACATTGCACACTGATGAAGATCCGGGTATATGCACGCATACACAGGTGTGTAACTGTGTGTGTGCGTACCCGTATGCGTCCGTATGTGTGTGTATGTGTGTGTGTGTGTGTGTGTGTGTGCGCGCGCGCGACTGCGTGCGTGCCTACCGGAGAGAAGGCAATGCCCGTTTTAATCTTGGTGTGATTGATTTCATGTGCCGATGATTTTGTTCAGGAGTAAGTGATCAAATACAGGTCTCAGGTTGGTGCTTCAAATGTCTCGCTTCAGATCGAACCGTCTGCGGCAATGGCACACCACATAGACGCAGATTGAACGGAATCAAATTGATATTGAAGCTATGGGTATTACCTTCGCCGTACCCTGCTCTGAGACCGTCTACGCGTAACATCACTGTATCCTGCTCCGAGATTTGTATAAACAAACATCATACCCTGCTCTGAAAACTGTCTAAAACATCGTACCCTGCTCTGAGATCCGTCTAAAACATCGCACCCTGTTCTGAGATCCGTCTTTAACATCGTACACTGCTCTGAGATCCGTCAACAGTATCGTACCCGGCTATGAGATCCATCTAAAACATCGTACCCTGCTCTGAGATCCGTCTAAAACATCGTACCCTGTTCTGAGATCCGTCTTAAACATCGCACACTGCTCTGAGATCCATCTAAAACGTCCTACGCTGCTCTACGATCCATCTGCACTATACAGTCTACACGTAACGTCATCACACCCTGTTATAATATCTGTCTACCACTGACCCATGTAGTCCTTCGTGTGACCGCAAAACGACCTGTGCCACGCCACCACCTGGGCCAGCGCCTGCGGCTGGTCCTCATCTTCCGTTCTGTCCATCAACTCCTGTGCCAGCTTCACTCCGCCATCCGCTCCATCATTTACAACTGCCAGACTGTTGTGAATAATGGAAAAGAATTGACGTATTTGTGAACTGCTTTGTAACCTGAGATATTTTCCCATTTTTTGACAGGCTCTTGCAACCATTCGAGGGCGCAATCGTCCAGATTCTGGATGAGTGACTAAGATTCTCATAGCGGGGTGCAACCATTCAAGGGGGCACTCATCAAGATTTTGGATGAGTGCGCCCTCGAATGGTTGCAAG